TCAGGCTGGTTTTGAACTCCTGACCTTGAGCAATCCGCCCGCCTCGGCCTCCCAAGAGCTAGGATTACAGGCGTGAGCCACAGCGCCCGGCCTGTCTTTTCCTTTTTTTTAAGTGGCTATTAGAAAATTCAAAATTACATGTGACACACATTGTGGCTCACATATTTCTGTTGGACAGCACTGATCTACAATATAATACGATAGTTTTGAACATGCATATATTTATATATTTTTTCTCTTATGTATTACCCAATAAGATTTATAATAATTCTTCTATAGGAAGACAGTAAAGAAACTCAAGATTCATCATCTTTAACATGTATTTCAAATTCTACTTTTGAAACCATATTTTTAAAAATGAAATACATCTAGTCTATTAAGTATTCTTTAATCTTTATTTTGACTCACTGACCATTTTAGGTTTGATTTTTTTTTTTTTTTTTCAATTTTTGACTTTTTATTTTTAAAGGGAGTAACCCAGGGAGATTATACACCTATGGAAGACAGTGAAGAAACCTCTCAGTCTCTACAAATAGATCTTGGACCACTTCAGTCAGATCAGCAAACAACAACTTCATCCCAAGATGGTCAAGGCAAAGGAGATGATGTCATTGTAATTGACAGTGATGATGAAGAAGAGGATGATGATGAAAATGATGGAGAACATGAGGTAAATTTGATTTGAAATCATCCAGTGTTTACATGAGAGTGCTTACTTATATCCTTGGGACAACTAATGCATCAACTAGTAAATTCTGATTTCTAGTCAGTTTAAATAGATTTTGTTGGGGCCAGGCCCAGTGGCTTAGGCCTGAAATCCTAGCACTCTGGGAGGCTGAGGAAGGAGGATCACCTGAGCCCAGAAGTTTGAGACCAGCCTGAGCAAGAGTGAGACTTCATCTCTACTAAAAATAGAAAAAATTAGCTGGGCATGGGGGCACTCACCTGTAGTCCCAGCTACTCGGGGAGAGGCTGAGGCGGGAGGATCACTTGGGCCCAAGAGATTGAGGTTGCAGTGAGCTATGATGATGCCACTGCATGCTAGCCTGGGCAACAGAGTGAGACCCTATCTCAAACAAAATTAATAAATAAAAGTTTTTTAAAAAGTAGATTTTGTTGCTTTACTTTTATCCGATTAGTTCAAAAATTAACATTTTGTAATAAAAATGAGTATAGAACCAGTGCTAGAAAATCCCAGGTTTTAAAATTTTGGTTTTTTTTTTTTAATGATTGCTAAGCATTTAAGATTTGTTCTCAGTTAAACTTAATCTTAAGTCATTGATAAGTGACTATATGAATTTAATTCTAACTGCTATGGTTTCTAGAAATAAAAAGAAGAAATAAGGATTTCTTTTCTCTTAGAGCCCCATAGTTTATTTCAGAAGTAACTGAGGATACCATTATTGAAGCATATTTTAACTGAAATACTGTATTTTTTAAAAATTTAATTCTGTATTGATAGCTTTTCATTTTATACTTTTTGGTTAATAAAGCAACATTTTTTTTTTTTTTTTTTTTTGGGATAATATAAATGAGGAACTAAGAACCATGTCTGCTTTGTAGATGCACTTAATAAATCCAGACGTCTCAGTTTACTTCTAGTTGTCATTGTATATACATCTGGGTAGTCATTCTAGAATAAAATGGTAGAATAAAACTGCTACCAAATATATCTTTCTCCAACAAAGGAACAGAATGTAGTCAAGCTAACAAAGAAAAGAAAAGAAAATGCTGTAATGAAATGGATTTATAACACAATACCAGCACCAAAACTATTGTGAGTTACCTCATTCTAAAAGATACAGTAATATACCCCACATCTAAAAGGAAGAAACCTTAAAATATTACCTCTTTAACTAATAAGATCAAAATGACAGCAAGGAGAAACTATGAACAGGGGAAAGTAATATTAGATTTAGGGATTGTGTTTTCAGCAGAAGTAAAAGTTTCAGAATTTCATCCTGTTGAGAAAATATCCAAATTCAAATTTATTCACCATGGAAATTAAATAAACAGACCCTCCCATTCAATAGAGTTAACACTTGAAGGAAAGAAGGGCAGAATTAGGTTTCTAACAAAGATGGCATAATGTCTCAGTCTTTCTGTTCCCTTTGTCGTTCCCTGGGCTATAGAAAAACAAATACTAAAAAGTACCAGCCCATGAACAAGTTCAAGAGGGAAAACCAACTCTTAGATATAAGAGGAAAGAGATCAAGAAGTAATACACATTATTTCAAAAAATAATAGCTGTCCAAGTATGAGCGGTATAGCATGGCACCACAAAATATGCCATAGCTTTCAAAGTAGTGGGGAAAGAAGTAATATCACATACAAAAAGATGGATAATTATATCCAATGAGAAGAAAAAAAGTTCTTCACAGTTCAATAGATATTTTGTAAAATTGCTCAGTACAAAGTGACAAAACAACAGAAGAAAAGAGGATTTCTGAACAAAGGAAAAAACTGAGGATTAAAATAACATTATTTTTAGAACTATTACTAAATTCAGTGCAGTAAGAAAAATAATACAGAAAGATAGAGGTTTGGATTAATGTTTTACCCTAATGTTATACTGGCTATTGGTGTGATTTGTAGTTCTTTTTACTTTTGTCTTTATAATTCTGCATTTGTTTAAACTCTTTGCAATTAGAGTGCATCACAGAAAATATAACTTTCAAAAATTTCAGTTTTAAAAGTTGAAATTTAAATTCTATTTTGCTGTAGAGAGGATTAGAATCTATGTAGGAAGGTAGCCTTTCAACTGTTATTAAATGTTGGTGTCTATATGTATATGAAATGTTTAGGTAACTGCAAAAACAATGGCTCAGCATGAAGAACTGATGAAGAAAACTGAAACAATGAATGTAGTTATGGAAACTAATAGAGCTAAGAAAGAAAAGAGAGACTAGAACAGGATCTACAGCAGATGCAAGCAAAGGTTTGTAGATTAGTAATCAAAATGAGCATGTATTATTTTTAATATATTATAAGTGAATTTTGCATTACTTGTTAAAAATATATTGGTACTGTTTTCAGTGAGAAACTGGAGTTAGATATTTTACCCTTACAAGAAGCAAATGCTGAGCTGAGTGAGAAAAGTGGTATGTTACAGGCAGAGAAGAAGTTACTAGAAGAGGATGTCAAACGTTGGAAAGCACGTAACCAGGTAAATGCAGTTATACCTATTCCTAGACATGAAAACATGTCTAGGAATACATGTTGATTTAACTAGTAGGGTGTAAAATGTAAGGGATAAAATATTTGAAGAACTAATGAAAATTTTTTTGTTTTTATCAGTGAAAGTCTTAATATGTTACGTGTATATATGCAACAGATGTAAACTTAAAACTCAATTTAAAAAAAATTTTTGGTTACATTTAATTTTAAAAAGCATGTTACTTTATTTCCCATAATTCCAAAATTTTAGTCTTTATCTCTGAGATACTTTTATACATGAAAATAGGAATTTTATAGTTATTGAAGCACTTTAAGAAGATTGTTTCTGGTACCTTTTAGAGATGAAACCATATAGCATAGATGGTTAGAAACTCCAGCTCTGTATTCAGCATAAGGTTGAAAATCTGCCTTGCACATACTAGTTATTAATTATAGTTAAGAACCTTTCACAGGAAATAATACCACTCTTCATGTGATGGAAATTAAATAAACATAAAGAAGTTCACCCAGCACTTTGCACCCAGAAAATGATCATGTGTGTTTAAATTGTAATACATTGTGCACATTTTTTCATTGTAAACATCACTTTAATGAAATTAGTACTTAAAAGCTTTAAGATTCTTTGTTTCCCTTTATTGGTCTCATTATAAATAATCTGAAATGTATATTCACAAATATGAAAAAATAATGAGCAGTTAAAAACATTTGATTTTTTCCCCCTCTTCCATTCTGGCTAAACAAACTAAATCTTAGTTTGCTCTGGTATCTTGTAGTTCTGTGCTTGATCACTTACATGCAGGATACTTAATATAACATAATTAGATATTCTACTATTTTATTATAGCACATTTGTTCATAAAGCCTAAAAAACCAAATATGCATTTTGATCTTCTAGCATCTAGTAAATCAACAGAAAGACCCAGATACAGAAGAATATCGGAAGCTCCTTTCTGAAAAGGAAGTCCATACTAAGCGTATTCAACAGTTGACGGAAGAAATTGGAAGACTAAAAGCTGAAATTGCAAGGTATATGAAAGAAGCCTTAAATCATATATAATGCATGAAATCTGAAGTTATTTCAACTCTTTATATGACTCCCCAAGTGCTTCCTGTTTCAGAAAGAATGGAAAGCATTAGAGCCCTTTTAGTGGCTTTCCTCTATTTTCTGTGGAGTCTAGCAAATGATGATATAATAATTATGCCTTCAAATATAAAATATATATAAGAATATTATCTCATTATAGAGAATTATTTCTCTATATTTATTTTTTTTAAAGTTAATTAGTATAATTCTAAAGCTAGTTAATTTGCTAAGCGACTGTCAAAATAACTTTAACAAGTAGGTTTTCTTTTTTTTTTTGGTTACCTTATATTCATGAAACTCTACGAGTAGTTTTAAATTAAATATTTCCTTAAATGAACTTATACTGATTTTGCCCATTTAAAGATAAATATTAAAATTAATGTTTCTGGTTTACATTTTTCAAATTTTAGTATAATTTGTCAATGTCATGTCTCCTACTTATATGGATGCTTTACAGCTTATAACTTTTTGTCATATATACTCCGTTCATAACAGTAGTCTTGTATATTGATTAGGAGAGAATATTATTTTTAGCTTTACAGATGAGGAAGCTAAGATTCAAAAAGTTTGACTACCTAAGGTTCCAGAGTTGGTTGTTAAACCCATGCTCTTAATTTAGGTCATCTGATTTCAAGTTCAGTTCATAATACAGTACAAGGGTTGGCACACTATAGCCTGCAGGCCAAATCTTGCCCAAGACTTGTGTTTGTACAGCCTATAAGCTAAGAATGATTTTACATTTTAAAGCACTGTATAAAAAAAAGAACATGTGACGAAGATTTATGTGGCTTGCAAAGCCTAACATATTTACTCTGTGTGGTCCATTACAGAAAAAGTCACAACAGTGAAAAGAATGTAGGTGTGCTATCAAGCAAGTCTGAATTAAAATCTAGATACCATCTAATTATGCATGTTACTTGACTACTAGCAGCTCAGTTTCTCTCACCTCTGAAATAGGCACATATGTCTATGTAATAAGGTCTTTCCAAAGGACCATAATTTATAAGTTAAGTAATTATCTTGAAGTGTGTGGGAGTTTTTTAGGATTTTAAATAAACTTATTGAAGTAGCATAATATAAACTTATATTGAAGTATTTGAAAATTTGAAAAAAGTCTCAATACTTAGTCTTTGTTCTTTCCTCCATTTTTAAAGACAAATGCACTTTGACCAACAACCAGAACTTAATTCAGAGTCTGAAGGAAGATTAAATAAAGTAAGAACTGAAAAGAAACCATTCAGAAGGACTTAGATGCCAAAATAATTGATATCCAAGAAAAAGTCAAAACTATTACTCAAGTCAAGAAAATTGGACGGAGATACAAGACTCAATATGAAGAACTTAAGGCACAACAAGATAAGGTATTTTGAAAAGCTTTCTTTAAAAAAAAAAATTAGGATGAATCTTAAACCTTTATTTTTGTAATCTTGAATATTACTGGATTTAGATTCTAAATTCTTGTGTAAGTGTATATGATATCTTTATTTGGTTTAAGAGTGGTGTTTTTAGTATGTCTGAAGTACATTATAAACTCAAAAAGAAAGTTTGATAAATGGTAGATATTTTGTTCAGTTTTCACATTTCAAATACTACCCCTCTTTAAAGCTACATCCTCATAATTCATTGCTAATTAAAATTGTGTATAGCAAAAAAAAATTGTGTAATCAAAAAAATGATGACTAATCAGGCTTGTGATAGTTTCAAGGAAGTTGTTTGTTAAATGCCTATCAAAAAGAATCCAAGGCCGGGCGCTGTGGCTCACGCCTGTAATCCTAGCTCTTGGGAGGCCGAGGCGGGCGGATTGCTCAAGGTCAGGAGTTCAAAACCAGCCTGAGCAAGAGCGAGACCCCGTCTCTACTATAAATAGAAAGAAATTAATTGGCCCAACTGATATATATATATAAAAAATTAGCTGGGCATGGTGGCGCATGCCTGTAGTCCCAGCTACTCGGGAGGCTGAGGCAGAAGGATCACTCAAGCCCAGGAGTTTGAGGTTGCTGTGAGCTAGGCTGACGCCACGGCACTCACTCTAGCCTGGACAACAAAGTGAGACTCTGTCTCAAAAAAAAAAAAAAAAAAAAA